AGTAAAACAAAACTAAACAAAACATGGGTACATTTGCTGTATAACCTCCACTCCTTAATGTGTAACATCATTACTTGGAATCTTCACGGGCCACATCCCCCTACTCAAAGAATCTAGAGACAGTTGGATAGAAGTTAACATTTTGCATGATTTCAACAAATTAAACGTTGCTGTGGCGTCACTATCATGTCATGAATAACAGATAAAGTGCAAAACATTTGGAATACTTTGTAGGTAAAAAAAACAAAACAAACAAACAAAAAAAAAGGCGAAAGATACCCAGAATTGGATACAGAAGAAAAGAAAGAGACAAAGAGACAAAGACAAGTAGATCTGTTAGAAACAGACATGATTAGGCAGGCATCTCCTGATCTGAGCATGCTGGAGACAGACAGGCTGCATCCATCACAGCGACATGCATGCAACAGGCTTAGCAGGTGCAATGCAGCATGACAAAATAATCTGTTTCATTCATTCGGTTATTAGTTACTTTAGACTTTTCAATAAAGTGAAAAACAAATTAAAAAAGACAAGTAATTAAGCATACGGATTAGTTTGGTTATATGAGCAACAGCAGCATGAGGGTGACGACTCACGATGATTGTTAAGTGTGAACTTAGCAGTATGAGACTACAGACTGAAGAATCCTCCAGCGAGACAAGGCCAAGTACTTCACCATAAAGTGAGCTCATGACAAGGGATAATCCTTTACCTGCTCCTAGAGCTTCTACTGTAGCTTAAAGTTAATCGAGCTGGGGCTCACCATTCCCCTCCATTTTCTGTGCACTTTGCAAGAGCCTCAATCTTTATTAGCGGAGCTATCATTAGTCCTGTCCTCTGCAGGGAGTCTGGAGGCTATGGGCTGTGAAGACCTTGGCACAGCCATAAGGATTACCGCTGTATCTCAGCACCGTCATATACCTGTTCAGGACCGTTGCTGAGTTGACATTTACACAGCGCCAGCCTGTCTCTGAAGGACAAGGCTTTCATTAACCACTGTAATAAGACAGAATCATTAATATCCCCTCAATATCTGAAAATGTGAATGAATGTGATTAATTCCAAATGTCAGTCAACAGAGGTGTATCTGAGCCAGGAACTACAGTCAAGTCAGCATATTGCTATAGCTTTATAGTATATATACACAGATTGTGTAGTATTAGTATGAATCCTGCAGATGCACAGTGGTGTAAAAAGTATTTAGATCCTTTACCTAAGTAGAAGCACTGCCTCACTTGTGTACATCTGCCTCCGCCAACCAGTTTACACGCAGGCCTCTCCAGACTAATAATACATGTAGTCAATACTTTGAAGGAATTTAATAAAATTTACTGTGTGTTTTTGACCAAATGGAAGTTATCGCTATATCAACATGTATGATTCTAGTGAAAATTTTTCACTGAGAAACATGCTGCTTTCACTTGGAGGCTATTTTTTACAGAGCACTGATGGATAGCTTTGTCACATCAATCTTGGGGTCCGAGTGGACATTTGTGCCAAATTTGAAGAAATCCCCTCTGGGCTTTTCTGACATACTGCGTTCACAAGAATGGGACGGGTGGACGAACAACCTGACCATGGCTGTCACCGGCACAGAGTGAGAGGCATAAACTATACCATTACAATCTAAAGTCCTGCACTGAACAATATCATTTAAGCAAAAGTAATAAAAGTCTACATAAAGTAAGACTATACTTTAAGGTGCAGTTGTGGGATTATTAATAATAAAACACAGTGTATCAGTAACACAAGTATGAAAGAGTCACAAAATCACTGAACTCAGTAGTAATGTCATTTAGCTACATAGCAATATGCAGCTAAAGTGTTCTAGCACAAGATAATATCAGCCGCTACTGGTCCTACCAGAACAAGCAGGGCTGTAGCAGTGCAAATCTTGTGTATCAAATTTAAGGACATGGCCAACCGTTTTCTATATGAACAGTAGTATCAACATTCCCCATACAGAGACTAAAACCAACAGTGATTTTCCTCTACTCACGATTAATGTCTGTCAATCTGTCAGTCCTGGATCATCTTATTTGCCCGTACCATAAACCTCCATGGTTGTTCAAAAACAATTAAAAACACATCAGGGAAACACACCACTGCACTGGGTGATGTTTTCTCACCACACACTCTGATATTCTGTAAAAATGTTGCCCCAAAGGATCAGAACAGCCAAAACCTTTTACAGCATCTGAAGTAAGCAAGAGTCAAAGGCCCGTGCACGAGATCTCTGAATTCTCAACAAATATCAAGGTCTGTTGTTTCATAATGAGGCAACATTAAGTGCAGTGGTGCGTTTCCCAGATGTCTTTTTAATTGTCTTTGAACAACAGTGGAGGGCTATGGCACAGACAAGTGAGCTGATCCAGGACCGACAGACACCGACAGTGAGCAGAGGAAAATCACTGGTGGTTTTATTCTCTGTACAGCGAGTGCTGAAAATACTATCAATACAGAAAATGACCAGCCTTATCCTTAAAGTCAGAGTGACATTTTATTGTCTATTAATTAAACTTTAAATCTGTTCTAGGAAGAATGTGCTACTTTTTAATAAATAAACAAACAAACAAAACAAAAAAACCTTAAAATTAAGGGGAAAGGTCTGTGAGTGATATACTGCTATACTGGTTCATTCTGATTTGTAATAAATATACAAGATGTAGTTAAGCGCAGTGCATTTTCCTCACAGGCATTATGATTATTCTCTTTCCATCTTGAGTTTACGTCATGAATTCGACCCAGTAGGTGATGCTACAAACTCGCGCAGCACATACAATATAACATCAGAACTGAAGGGCATGTACAAGCGAAACTACTAATGCAAGACTTTCACTCAGTCCACTCAAAGTGCAAAACCGGAGCAGATGTGATGACATGGAACTGGGACACAACAGTACACATGATGATACAAAAGAAAAAAAAAAAGAGAGATAGTAGCAAGATATGACAAGACAGCAAGTTCAGTAATATCACAATCCGAGCATATCAATAGGCGTGAACACACACTGTGCCATGCTCTTGTGTCAGTCCGTCAGTCAACAGACATGCAAGCGGTGCTCCTTTCTCTTTCTCTCTTGCTCCTTCCATGCAAACATCGCCTCTTTTTAATCTTCCAATTCTTGGGTCTCCATGACAACAACATCATACCATGCAGAGAACATTGATCGGGGAGTGAAGGCAATACCGAGGGTTCTGCACACAAGGCCTCACAATGCAGTCAGTGCACTCTGCTGCGTAGGCAGACCACTTCATCACCGTAGCAGATTTAGAGAAATCAACTCTCTTCACTTCGGAGACAAAGTCATTTCACCACTCTGGTGTCCTTTAAATGTTTTTTTTTCTTTTTTGTTTCTCTCTGTTTCAATAAGTGAAGCTTTCTGAAACAAAGGAGTAACAAAAGAAAAGAAAGAGCACACCAACCTTCTCGAAGCTCTGAGGGATGGAAGGGGGTTGATGCAGAACACAATGACGTGAGGGGGAGAGAGAGAACGAGGAAACACAGAGAGAATAAAAACGGCCAGCGCAAATTCACTCACTCCACTGCACCACACACACACACACACACACGCACACACACACATACACACCCGCACCAACCCTCACACACTGCACACAGACTTCTTCAATATCGCACTGAACACACAGACTAGAACTTGTCAATCTGAATGTTGGTCATGGTCTTTCAGTCATAAGCCAGTGACACACCAGCACTCACAATCCAGAGGCTGGAATCAGTTAAACAAGGATCATGTGGGTGCAGAGATGCCATTAATGGAAACATATTTAAGAATGAATTATATCCTGATTATTTAACTTCCAATTTCAATCAAATCTGTGCATGTATTGTGCAACATTTTCCTCTTAATCTGCCTCTAGTACAGAAGTCATTTTAGTAGAGGGACTGGTGATGTTTCCGTGCAATTAAACCGAGGTGTGTTCCCAACTTTATTCTCAATTTGATTCAACTGTAGGAGCCGGCACCAAGGTTTAAAGTAGACTTGTTAAAGGTGGTTGTGACAAATATCAAACAACAAGGTCAACATATATTGTAGGCAATGGATGGGTTAGTAAATCTTGTTTAAGAGCACAGGTATGGGAAAGAAATACATTTACATTAATACCAACAGCACCTTAATAGCAGTGGCTTCTTTGTGTTTCTGTGCATGTATGCGCATGTGCATGTGTGTTCTGTATTCAGGTCCTACCTCGCACGTATAGGTTTGCGGGGGAGGAGTAGCGCACGCCTTGGGAGTTGGTGGCCACGCACTCGTACTTCCCTTGGTCCGTTTCCTCGCTGTTCTCAATTTGTAAGGCTCCTGCAGGAAGAAACGAGATTGAGATAGATGTTTTGTCAAGTCTGTAGAAAATGCTTCTGCTTTCTTTTGCATGCTGTCCATTTCATCACGTGATGTTCATCTGTTGTTCTCTTTCTGACCCCGGGTTGTCCTCTTCTCTATTACTTCAGCTTTTAATAAAGTCAGCTTTGTTGTTATTTCTATGAATTTTAGCCTGAGGAGGAAGCATAAAACCCTGCATTACACTCAGAGGACAAAGACAAATCAAAACGTAAATGACACAGATTTTGAGGAACAGACTCGTGCAAACAGGGATGTAGGTGAACAGGCGTGCACACACACACACACACACACACACAATAGTTTAAGTCTGATACCAAGCACTATGTTTTGTTTCAATTCTGCAGAACTGAGAAGAGACATCTGCTCTCTTTAAAAAAGTAAAATAATGATATATGCATTATACACAGTAACTGCATTATTATACATAATGCATCAAATAGTAACATTGGTACCAAATTTAAAGGGTTATATAAACATATTTTGTCACAGTTTATTCACTGCAAACAAAATTTCATTCATATACTCCAGTGGGCAGTTTATGTACCCACTGGCTAAAGTGACTGCAGCCTAATACAGTAGTACTGCAATAAACCCAGAATATTACATGGTTCAAACTTTGTTGAAACTCTTTTGAAGGACGCAGTTTATGGTGCACTTGAATTATATTGCCTTTTATTAACAGGTGTCTCTATTGTTTGGTCCACACCATTTATATCAGTGAGGGTTGGCTAAAGAACAAAAACACTTCTCTGTGTAATCCTCCAAGATGATGACACTGTGAGGGCAGCATTTTTTTTTTTTTTTGCAGGACTGTTATAGGCTACATTAGTTTTAGCTAGGTGTGTGGTGGCAGCAGGCATTTTAGGGGCACCTAACTTTTGAAACCAATAAACTACCTGTAATTGTTAGAGAGCAGCACTAGATATAAAAGAGAAAATATGGTTGTTTGCTTAAGTAATTTCAGTGTTTCATGGTTCACTTTTTTGTCTTAGGAGCAGGACTTACTTTCCAAAACTGCATACTCACACACATGGTGTGTTATCCTAATGGTGATCATAAGAACGCAGCCAGTTGAACACTAAAAGGCTCCACAGAGACAAACTGTTTGTGTGTCTGTGTGGGATTCTCCAAATTACACAATAGCTGATCAGTAACTGCAGAAGGTTAGACACCATGTTTCTGGAGGCTCCGAGGAGGAAAAGTCTGACGTGTCAAAGCTAGCATGAGCTCAAATGTGCATTTTGTATGTTCGAGTGTGTGTAGTGAACTGAGGCTCTGCGAGCTGAAGCTGTCATCCATTTGCTTCTGTCTTCTGCAGTTGCATGAAAGGAAAAAAGCTCGTGCCCTCCTCTTTCTCTCCATTTTTCCTTCTCTCATTTCCCCGTGGTACAGGGCAGAGTTGGGAGATAAACAAGAATAAATTATCTGCTCTACAAGCTGAGCCTCTTCTCCAGAAAGAGGCAGAAGGAGGAGTGAGAGAAAGACAGAGTAGAAGAGAGATGGAGCTGGACAGGTGGAGCTCTGCAAACAAGAACTCATCTGACAGTTTGGAGCAGCTCATAGGGCTAACCATCAGCACGTATTTGAAATCAGCAACTGAAATGTTCTTTTATGCAAAAAGCATCCTCACCATACGTTAAGAAAGGCAGGTGTTTAGTATATATACAGTATGCAAAGGTCACCATACAGATCTAAATGCACCAAACAAACAGATGCAACTGTGGCTCGTGTATTATGTCTGCTGGGCTGGGCTCCGCCGATCAGATTACAGCAGATACTGCTAACCTGATAGCTTTGTCAGAACACTGACTGTAGAGCTCACAGAGCACCTGGACTCCAGTCTCCAGTGGGACATTAACTTTTAACTGGGACTGGATGTTATCCACAGTCAAGACAAACAGGTGCAATTTTTATCACAACACACTGACTAAAGAATTTTTTTTTTAAAAATCAACTGTTGGGATCAAACAAGCTCTAAAGTTGACACTGATTTATTATTTGTACACTGTTTATAACTCAACCATTTATTCCTGTTTCCTCAAACGTGGAATGGTTGTATATTGATGTCGACTTTGATTAATGAGTATTTTTTTTGCCTTGCAGAAAATTAATTATCATTGAAGTCATCGTTCAAGTCAACGATCACTGGTTCTCACTTCCTCAGTGTTTACATTTGCTGGTTTTCTCACCCTGATTTGAATATAACTGAGTTTTGGATTGTTGGCTGGACAAAATAAGCAGTTTAAAGACGCTACACTGGACTCTCGGAAATTTTATAAATCAAACCATAATCTTGATAATAATAGATAGATTCATTAACAACAAAAATAATCATTACTTATATTGATTGGTTGCATAGTTATCTGTGATGAAAATGTTTCATTTTCTGTCAGTAAATGTTCAAAAGGATTTATCTACCTTTAATTTTTAGAAATTCTGTGGAAAAGAAAGAATTTTCACCAAAAGAAGTCATTTGATTTTTTGGCCAGTGTCCTAATTTCACTGAAATCTGTTATAAAGACATTCTGCTGAGTAACTGACAAACAAGTGAGACCAAAATATTATCTGTGGAAACACACTGAACAGGAATAGATGGATGCCTTGGTTGACGTGCAAAGATGTCATGAAAAGTTTGACTCTGCACAATATCGACAACGTGCGTTTGCAGGTTTTACTTATACATTCACAACTGTGCCATCGTTTGGACCGTTACCTGCAGTGGAAAGACACAGATGATGGATACTTATGGGCTGTGAAATAGCTGAGAGTCATCTTTTGTTGGATTTGAGTGCAGTCATTCTCAATACCATTTTTCATCCTGACCCATATGGACCATAAAAATTATTTCCAAGACCCAGCAGAGAAAGAACAGAAGAGACAGAGACAAAACAATGGTTGTGGCCCAAAACAGGTCCCTGGCCATGCTCCAACAAGAGCTGGCAGACATCCACTAAATCAGAGGCAATGCTTGTAAGGTGCCCCCATTAAACACATCTTAAAGAAGTGTTTCATCCGTAACACATCTCGGTGCTATTCTGCACCCAGCTCAGGTGTAATTGATTTCCTCCAAGTCATTTCACTGCAGCGTTTGGTTCATTATACAGTGCATTTTTGTTGTTCAGCTTTGTGATGCTTTTGGTGATTTGAAATCCTATTAAACCCTGCAGTGAATCTCATGGAGCCATTTGTCTTGCTGCTGTTTCATTGATGTAATATGTGGCCAAGCAGACTGTGCCAGTGAATCAGTGTCCCGTCTCTGTGACACCCCACAGAGGACAAAATGAATCCCAGAGCAGATAAGTGACACCGTATTATGACAGATTACTATAACATTTACAGTTTGAATTACACAAAAATAAAATTTCACTATGCTGTATACTAGTGAAAACCTATTTACTAAGAGGGAAAACTGTAAAAGGGCAAAAAAATCGTTTCATGTTGCATGGAGAGGTTTGAAAGAGGTTCTTCTTATTGCGTAGCTCCAAGGCAACCAGCACATTTTCATAAATTTCAAGCTGAGAATGGGAAAACATTTGCATAGTTTTTAATCATAATTATGGATCTACTGTATAACACAATAACACACTGCTCTTTCTGGCATGTTTTGTGATTTTTACAAACCACAGCTTTTCTTTACCCTACAGGTCTCCTGAGGTTATCTATTGTTTCACTTGCAGCAGCAAAGCTGGTTACACACACTACATTCCACCCACACCCACTGCAGAAGATTTTACACAAAGGCAAATGCAATGTTTAAACATCCAGTTTTATACACTGGTTACTGGAATTTAAATCAGGATTGTAGGATCTGAAACTGGTTACTGGCTACTTACAGACACTAAAAAAGACCAACCCACTCCCCAAACAGTGGTTGTCCAGTCATGTCTTAGCAGCTGTAATTGGGCACTGCAGATCTGTCAAGCTCTGGATTTTGCCTGATGATGTACACCCCCAAACCCCAAAACATCATGGTAACAAAGTGCTTTACAAAACAATACACAAAACCGTTAACTTAATGTAAACAATACAATACATATATAAGAACAGCTGGAGCATATATAAGTTTAGCACAAATCAGATTGATCTGCATAAAATAATCCAGTACACAAAAAGCTAGGCCCTTCAACTCTGTCTGTCTCAAGTGGCAGTGTGAAAAGTATGTCTTCAGTAAAGATTTAAATCAAGGGGTTTCAACTAATTGTGACCCAGGGACCACCATTCTGGCTAAGAATTAACTTGAGGACCACTGTTGTGGGGTGGATAGACCAATAGGGCACTATTTTAATCCTGAATTTGATTATACACAATCAATAAGTAATATGTGTTAATTTTTTTTTTTATGATTCCCACAGTAAAACTACATTATTGATTACACGGCAGGGACCACCTGCAATTCCTTTGAGGGCCACCAGGGGGCGGGAGACCACTCGTTGAAAACACCTGATTGATTCCAAACTGGAGGTGGTCCCAATTCCTCTAGTGGAAGGCTGCTCCAGAGTTTCGGACAGACTGTTGCAAAAGCATGATTACCTTTGAGCTTTAAATTGGATCTTGGCACAGCGTAGTTAAACATGAAGGTGCCAATCAATTTAGTGATTTAAAAACTGAAAGCAAAAGTTTAAAGTCAGCTCTAAATTGGATGGGGGGGCCAATGGAGTGAAGCCAGTATAGGAGAAATATGGTTTCTTTTTTGTGTATTACAGAAGTTAGAAGGCAGGCTACTGCATTCTGGACAAGAGCAAAACTGTAAGGAATGGATTAAACAGTGATCTGCTCTATTGTAAGCTGCAAGTGTTAGCATGTCTGGTTAACTAGCATATCAGTTACAGTAATGTAGTGTTACTTCCAAAAAAGAACACCATTAACTAACGTTAAAGAGCCCATGGCATGCTTTTCCTTGTTTTTTGCTTATCTACAATGTTACAATGGTAAATTATCATCTTAGACGTGACCTAAAGCTCAAAAAATGACGTGTAAGTATGTTGTAGTACTTCTATGCAGAAGCAACCCAGTTTATACAAGTCTCGCAAACTCACGCTCATGAGACTTTTTTCTAACAAAATAAAGTCTTACGTGGTAGTTTAAAGATCTCTTTGAATGATCATAATCTCCAGGCATTTGCACGTCCATGTGAGCTTGCCTGACATCCTCTGGTGCCATTTTAAAAGCATAATTTTTTTGACTGCACCCGGTTCTGTGGATATATTTTACCTCCTGCTGCTGCACTGTGACCAGAGGATGTGGAGAAAAATCCAGGGCCTGAGGTTGCTGTATGTCCAGGAATGTTCCTGTACAGGGACTCACTGTTTTACCTGAACGGGTCTAACCTACAAGCAGCCGGCCAATGAAGCACCCTGGGGCAGTGAACGATCAGCTGCTCAACACTAGATTCCCCTGGAACACAGCACGTGTTTGGTTTGACTGTGTGTCTGCTGCATGTGATCTGTCGCTGGTTAATGAGTGTCAAGCTCCTAAAGTTTGCTGATGATACAACGGTCATTGGTCTCATCTGAGACGATGACGAGTCAGCCTACAGACGGGAGGTTGAGCAGCTGGTCCTGTGGTGTAGCCGCAACAACCTGGAGCTGAACACGGTCAA